GTGTGTCTGTTCTGGGCAGCCGAAACGGCACAATCGTTTTTCATCAAACTTGGTGGAAAAATTGCTAAAAATTCGTAGAGTGGAACAAACTTGGTCCCATGTCGAAGGTTACTTTAGGCAGGCATTAATTAACCATTTTATTTACGCTGGAAAACGATGTCGCTGTACGCTGCCAGCCTTCCGGCGGTTGCGCTCAAGCCAAACACGAGCGTTTGAACTTTCACGCTTTGGAAAACTGTACCATTGGACTCGCCACCTGGCACGAATTGCCCACTATCACTTGTAGATTAACGATAGATCTGGTACTGTGGGAGCTGGTCTTGTAAACAGTCTTGTGACCTGATACTGTATTGGTGCCAACAAAGTTCTTCCCACGGTTTGGATGGCCGTCGAAGCGTACCTAGGTGCTAAGCCGCTCCCCCACTACAGCTGCAGATGTTTAGCACATCCACCACATGGTCCGGGTAGGTCCTACAGCTCACACAGGGTGTTGGAGATGGTTCTTGTTCCTCATGTGATGCAGTTAGGAATTCATAATTCCTCACCTGGGTGGAGTAGGGAGTCCTCAGTTTTCTCATGATGTAGTTTGGAGTCTTTCTTGGCTTCTCATCCAGTGTTGGTGGTGGTGAGTGTAAAGTGTACCCTGGGTGTGTCAGGTTCGCATCAGGTCAGCATTGACAGCTGAGCACTGATTGTCACTCTCCAACAGTTGTTTCTGTCTTTTGAGTTGAATTGTCACTTTTGTATATCAGTTGGTGGAGGATGTTGATAAATCTAGGTGGGGAAGAGATAGGGAAGGTCCGACAGACCAGGCTGACAGCTGTCTCCATGGCCTAAAAGACCACGACCACCTTAGCGAGATGTCCTCACCTCAAGAAGGCTGAAGGCTGTGTGTGTGTGTGCGCACGAGAAACATTCATTGAAATATTGTTGAACTTGCCAAACACACTGTAGGATTTGAAGAAGTTGATGAAGAGAATGTTCAGGAGTCAGGTGTTGAGGTGACATGTCAAGACACTTACACAGCACACAAAGTAACAGCACTACTAAACCATTGTCTTATAACATTTTACATTATAATTTCAATTTTAAAATTAATTGATACATGATAGCTCGACAGGGCTACTTTTGCACTTAGCCAACTAGTCAATGAATAAACTAGGGCATATGGAGATGCATTATACACTAGTGATGTCACAAAGCTTCACAACTGCAACCACAACTTCTGAGCAACCACATAAATTATCACAACCTACACAGGGGGCCCCCCAAATTCGCAGGGGTTAGGTTCTCAAAATGGCTGCGAATAGCATTTGCGAACGGGAGAGGGGGGGGGTGTACATTTTTACTTGTGTACAGTCAACCCTCGTTTTACGCGGTCCCACATTCCGCGTTTCCACGTTTATGCGGTACCCTGCCGAAACAGGAATGCTCACATTCCGCTGTGCGTGTACCCCTTTACGCGGAGAGCGGCTGGCGAGCCGCGCCATTTTTGGATCCAAACCTCCCGCCATCTCTCCCACCCTCTACCGCCATGTTGTGTAAGCGGCGCAAGCATGGTGCGCACAAGGTCGCCCAGTCATCAAAACATTACCGAGTTCTTCACCCGCCACCCACCACAGCCGGCCTAAGTCAGTCATAGTGATAATTATAGTGAGGATATGGACTTATATGGACTTTGAGGGGTTTGACAAAGAGGCCCTGCAAGCCTCTGTGGTGGATAGTGATACAATTGATACAAGTGATACAGGTGAGGGCCAATAATCTGCCCTCTGCCTCGGAACCAACCGCCCATCCCCGTGTGCCCAGCTATCTTTTCTACTAATGTAAGTGTTAAAAAACCTAATATTATTGATATTTCTCTTAATTATTAATTGTGTGTATACCATCATAAAGTTAAGATAAAATTTTTACTACAACATAGTTGTGTGTCGTCAAAAAGTGGAGTTTGGGGGTCGGCCCGGTCTCTATTTCAATTAATCCTATATGTTATGTTGTTCACTTTACGCGTTTCTCACTTTCCGCGGTACCCTGTTGATTATATTAACCGCGTAAAGTGAGGGTTGACTGTACTAAGAAATGTTTATTCCCTTTATGTGTTTGCCCTTGGGACACCCACACTTACCCTCCAACACCACCCACACACACTCCCAACACCACCTTCACCTCCCCCCCACCATTACCACGCCCACACGTCACCACCCCCCACGTCACCACCCCACCATCACCACACCATCACCACCTCTCCCACCATCACCAACCCTCCACCCCATCAAACCCCCCACCACCATCACTACCCCCACTACCATCACTACCCCCACACCTCACCATTACCACCCACCACCCCCACATCACCCCCCACCACCATCACTACCTCGCTACCATCACCCCACACCATCACCACCCCTCACCACCACACCACCCCACCACCATCACCACCCTCACCACCATCACCACCCCACATCACTCACTCCCCCCACATCACTACCCCCACATCACCCCCCCCACATCACCCCCCCACCACCATCACTACTCCCCACCACCATCACTACTCCCCACCACCATCACTACCCCCCTGACCATCACCACCCCCACCCCTACATCACCTCGACCATCACCCCACCACCCCACATCACCCCCCACCACCATCACCACCTCCACCACCATCACTACCCCCACCACCATCACTACCCCCACCACCATCACTACCCCACTACCCCACATCATCCCCCCACCACCATCACTACACCCCCACTACCATCACCACCCCTACATCACCACCCCCACCACCATCACCACCCCTCACATCACTACCCCCACTCACCATCACTCTTCACCCCTCACACCCCCCGACCATCACCACCCTCATCACCCCCACATCACCCCCTCACTACCACATCACTACCCCCTACATCACCCCCGACCATCACCACCCCCCACCACATCGCTCACCTCCCCCACCATCACCACCCCCACATCACCACCCCCACCACCTTCGCCACCCCCACCATCACCACACCTCTACCACCACCAATTCTGCACCAACCACACCCCCACATCACATACCCCAACATCACACACACCCCCAACAACCACACACATACCCCCAACATCACACCCCCCCACACACACACACACCCCCCCACACACAATCCAATACCACTCACACACTCCCAACAAGGGAAGTAAGACAACAAGCATGAGGAGTGAAGGTCTTATTGTATGACACATCTGTGTGACTGTGTGGTAGCAGTTAAAATCAGCTGTTGAGGAGCACTTGGCAACACTCATTTCCACTCCTTTTCTCTGATAACCCACATCTCTCTGCTTTCTTACTCCATATTTTAAAATGTTATGTAACATAATGTTGAAGGGATACAACTTTGCTCCTTTATACATATACTTACCACAATCTCCACAAAACTACTTTAGCTTTCGTGTTTATTCAGGTCATGAGATCCACTAATCCCCCACCCAAGGGTGATGTGACATTCCATCAGGTCAGTAATATGAGACCACTATTCCCCCGTCCTACCTCCACCTGATATTGTATCAGGTCAGTTACAAGAGACCCACTAATCCCCCACAGCTCCATGGGAGTGGAAAATACCAGTCTTTGCTGTAACACACAGCTTCATTCATGCCCATATCATATAGATTTATAATTTTCAAATAAAGTAATGCCCCGCTTTACGCGGTTCTCGTTTACGCATTTCAACATTTACGCGGTACCCTGCCAGAACCGGAATTCCCACTTTACGCTGTGCATCTACTCATATACGCAGGTGAAGTATAATTTTTTTATTTAGCTCATAAAATTCATACAAATTACCCGGCCAGAATACAATTTACATTGCTGGAATTCTTACGATATGATGATCATTTTGAATATAAACATCATGGATTTTGCATTAGATATACACATTTTAGATCTAATGTAAGAATTTTGTTTACACAGCAAATATGTTATCTTTTGTGCAAAATATATGACGTGTATATTCAAAATATTCCTGGTCTTGCAAGGAATCCAGCAATGTCTGTTTTATTATCCTAACTTTAGTCTGAGGTGTTATTTATTACTATACCTTAAAATCTAGTGTTTTCACCCAAACATTTCTCAGAGAGGGAGGAGCCAGTGAGCATGGGAAGGGGGGAGGGGGGAGTTGAGTCCATTATATGAATGGACATTAACCTGGCGACTGCATTTCTCTTAAATATTAATTGTGTGCATACCATCATAAAATTAAGATGTTATTTTTACTACAACATAGGTATTGTGTCGGAAAAAGTGGAGTTTGGGAGTCGGCCCAGTCTCTATTTCAATTAATCCCATATGTTCTGTTATTCCATTTACTCGTTTCTCGTTTTACGCGGACCTCCGCGGGTTCAACTGACCTCGTAAATCGGAGTATTACTGTATATTTATTCAACCAAAATTAGACAAACTATTATGGATTATTATAGTAAAGAAATGGAGTTTCTAACTTAATTAGAAATGCATTTACAACTTAATTAGAAATGCATTTACAGACTCAGGTACTTAAGACTCAAGGAAAACATCCCTAGCACCCAGAAACATTCTGGGGAACTGAGCTAGTGTCTGTGTGTGCAAGATGTCTAGTTTAGACGCTCGGAAACTTTTCACGGTAACCGGAAAAGATTCCGAGGATAAGGAGTTTTTCCTGGTTTGAGAAAGTCGTCTGGGTACCCGGAAATCTCTCATCCCCGGAATTGCTCTGAACCAATTGTTCCTACTAAAGGTGATATCACTGTAGCGCTTTTAAATGAGGTGAGTTGCCACTTTTACTAGTATTTCTTGTTTTCTTAGGTTATTTTGAGGTATTGGGGCCGTAAAACAAAAATTAGATTTTTCCTGACTTGGGGGGGGTTATCATGTATGTACAGTATATTAATGTGACCTTTTACAGGTTAATATCCATTTGTTCTCTCCTGATTAACATGATGTAGAGTTGCAGGCCTCAACCCACTCCCCATTTCAGGCTACAAATACAACTTTCCATTTCTAATGGAAGAGTGTGGAATCCAAGTCAAGGACAACTGTGTAAAGCCGTTGTACAAGCACCTCATCAATTCTGTTTACCCATCGATGGCCTTAATTGGAATACCATCTCGAATCATTGTATTTCCCATCATCAACTATCAGGTTAGAATATCTTACTTCTGTATTAATTATTTTTTTGTGAATCTTTGTGAGATTCAGTATTTTAGTCGTAATTTTAGTTATATTAGTAAGTTAGCTTGTGTAATGTTTCCTCAAAAATATCACCATACAGTGAGTTCTGCTATAACGCGTGTTTTGATAACGCGAATTTGCTCTAACGCGATTTATGAATTCGGAACAATATTTGTATAACGCGATCGCTTGTTTGCTATAACGCGATTTTTGCTTACTATTTCTCCAATTTTGTGGTATTAACTGTGAATATGGTAAAGAAGAATATCTCCAAAAAGCATTCTGATGATAGAATTCCCGGTGATTATCGTAAAAGAAAGGATATAACACTTGAAGAGAAGCTTGATGTTATCAACCTCAAAATCACCCTTCTCCCCCATCAAGTTACATTCATATTTTTTCAAGGTAAAGTGTTAAATTTACTGTATGATTTCATTATTAGATATGAATGTAACATTTATTTAGACTGTGCTATCCTTTGTGTTAGGCTAACTACTAAATTTTTTCGATTTCGAGTAATCTGCACCTAACCCTATTTTCTCCATAAGCCCTGTTATTTCTATTACGCGATTTTCTATAACACGATATTTTACAAGAACACAATTATCGCGTTATAGCAGAACTACCTGTATATAAATTTTTATTAAAAGATATTAACAAAGAGTAGACTGTTCTCAATAACAGACTAATTCTTGCAAGCTCTGCCCATTATTGGGAGGATTCTGTTATTGAAAAGTCCACTATGGAGAGGGTTTATTGGTCATGTGTATACTTTCACTTACTTACTTTTATCCTCTTCACCACTGATCGGCTCGTTAGCCACTTGGGCGATCAGTCACGTTTCTGATAACTTTTCCTTTTCTTTTATCCTCTTGGTATGATGTAACCCACACAGTCAGCATGGGGTAGAAGTATGTTGTGGTGTAACCCACACAGTCAACATGGTGTAGAGGTATGGTGTGATGTAACCCACACAGTCAACATGGGGTAGAAGTATGGTGTGGTGTAACCCACACAGCCAATATGGGGTAGAAGTATGGTGTGATGTAACCCACACAGTCAACATGGGGTAGAAGTATGGTGTGGTGTAACCCACACAGTCAACATGGCTCTTGACTTTCTTCATCACACACTTTCTCTTCTCTTCTTTACAGGTTATTACACATATTTTCCAAGGAAGGTTGACATGTTGGCTTCCCACTCTTGCTGCAGAACCTTAAATTAATTCTCTCCTGCAGGTTCAGTATTTCATGGCCACTCTGACAGAATTCTCTCCTACAGGTTCAGTATTTCATAGCCACTCTGACAGGTAGAGTGAAACTTCCCACTCCTGAAGAAATGTTTACAATCAACCATAAAATTCACAAAGATTGGACTGAGCAAGGTTTACAGGAGAAGCATTTCCATATGCTTAATTCTGATCAGTGGCAGTATATGGACGACTTAGCAACAGAAGCTGGTCTTGTCCATCCTCCACCTTTCCTGAAGAAGATGTGGAAAATAATAATGACTAGATTGTTTCTCTCCTTCCCCATGTTCAAAGGCTATGACTACAGCCTCAACAAGGATGGCACCATTGTAGAGGCAAGAAATGGTCAAATACTCAACACATCTTGGGACTTGGGGGTGTTAGCTGTCAAACAGTTAATTCGCCTTGTTTGGAGAGATTTTTCCAGGGTAATGTGTTTATTAGGTTCTCTTATCATAAAGAAGATGAAAAAGCTACTGTATTTATCATAAGTGAGAAAACACTAAAAGCATCTACCAGTGTTAATATTTGGTGTGTTTTTATCCAGTTGAGTTAAAACCTATGATGAACTTTGTGAATTGATTGCACTAGAGCAGTATTTGAGAGGTGTCCCCACAGATGTACGTTTGTGAGAAGGAAGTTACAACTATTGAGAGAGCTGCCATTTTGGCAGAAAATTTCAGTCTTACTGTATTCATAAACATAAAGTTAATGAGATTCTAGGCCCAGCCGTGACTCCAGCTCAAGGTAGTAAGCACCTATTTGGTAATGTAGGTAATAAACTCTCCTTTGAGAATGTTGGCGGAGGTTCTGATGGTCATGGTGGTAATGGATTTAGGGGGATTATGACTTCTGTGTTTTTATTGTTGAAAGCCTGGTCACTACATTGCCCAATGTCATAAGCTCAAAGCTAAAGAGCCCCATGAAACACCTGTTGTTGATGAGCCATTTGCAAAAGTAATCATTGATTGTGTGAGCCCTCTTCCTAAAGCTTGAGTGTGATAATGAATATTTGTTACCGGTGATGTATGCTTCCACTATATATCCGGAAGTTATACATGTTTGGGCACTTGGTTTATATTATATTATATGTTGGTTTATATTACATCTATTGTATGTTATCAGATGTACTACACAGTTTAGTTTGGGATTCTCACCAAGTGAACTGATATTTGGCCGGAATATCCGTGGTCCCTTAGAAGTTTTGAGTAAGGTAGGAGATGTTAACTATATCATAGCCACGCCTGAACGTATAAAGACTAAAAGACTTGTACGTGTGAATCTGTTGAAACCCTATTGTGTTAGACCTGATAAGGTGGTGGGCAATACTGTGACATGTGATGGAGTGGAGGAGGATGAGTTACCTAAGCATGACCTTGTGCAATTGAAAACCGAAATCAAACTGAACAATTCTGATGTGTCAACTGATCCTGCTTCTAAATTGTGCCATCCACTGCAGGACCAGAGGAGCGATGTAATGTGTCTCCTACAGGAATTCCAGTGGTGACCCATGGTATTGTATTGGTGAACGATGTAACTCCAGTGAAACAAGTACCCTACCGCATGTCTTCCCAGAAAATTGGCATTCTGAATGACGAGGTGCAGTTCTTGATTGGCAATAATTTGGCTGAACCTAGTGATAGTGAGCGGGCATTCCCTTGTGTTCAGGTACCCTTGTCAGAGCGGGCGAGACGTATATCGGCATTTCCAATGTTTAACTCACTGGTGTTTGGCCCTCCAACCATATGATATTGAAATTAGACATGTGAAGGTATAAGGATAAAATTATTGCTGATTCCTTGTCTAGGCCATATTAGGCAAATCTAATAACTGTTGTTGTCAATGTAAAACCCTACTGGTTTTATTTTGAGGAGGAGGGTATTATGCATGGCATATTGTACAGAGGCGTGTTGCGCTGTGCATAGTGAAATATTTTTTAAGCATGTTACCCCTGAGTTATGTAAATATAATTTGGTATAATGATGTGTGGGCAGGGCTGGTATTTGATACATAAAATATTTTTCTGTATGTATGTCGGTATTTTTGCAGCTTAATGTGGGAGTTAATTAATTTTAGTTTTAGGATTGTAGTTCCGTGGAGTATGGAGTGATGTCAGTCACTGACTGGCCTTGGGAGTAGGAGGAGGTCTCAGTTTGTCAGTGGTGAATACCTTTTCAAATCAGGTTTCATTGAGTATTAACTATTCATTGCTGCTCTAGTATTATTTCTGGGTGTAAAGTGCAATCAATGGTGATATTACTAAGTAGTTTATTGTTTATTTACTGTGCACATATTAGTGGTTTACTCAAGATTATGTTGATTCTTTATTCTCTTGATTTAATTTAAATGTATCTGTTCATGATGGAACCTACACACTTATTATGATAAAAAATTTTTTATTAAATTTTATCTAAATCATTTTTAATGTGTATAATTCCAAACCTTCACTCCTGAACTGTTGGGATAAAGAGAGGACTGTGATTGGATCTTGGACTAAGTTGTGCTGAGTTGCCAATTTTTTTTTTGTGCCATATATGCCCTCATTAGTATATTAATCTTTAATGTAATTCATGTTGATAAGTTATGGCATAACAATATCCCCTCCTGATAATGGTAGAATCTGCCTTGTGGCCACCACCTCTATCAATAACCTAAGTCTTTTACAGTGAAACCTCACTTAAAACAGACTTCTCTTTACATGTAATCTGTTAGAGGGAAGGGGGTACTGTAGCGGATACTCTCCCCTACAACTGACAAACCTAGCTGAATACCATAGCAACGAAGTTCAACCGCGGGCGAGGTTCTCACGGGGGGGGGTGTCACCACCTGCGACACTCTCCCTTACATCTGACAAGCCTAGTCGCATTTCAATGTGGCGGGATTCAGCAAACCGGCGAGTTTCTCACGGGGAGGGGGGGGGTTGCCATCTGCGACGCTTGCATCCGGTCTTACTTCTGGTGGCCGAGTATATAAGCTCTCAGTCTCGCCATTGAAGTAGATTCTAGCTACAGCCCTACAACACGCAATAGGACCTCTGAGCAAGCTCCTCGCTGACCAGCTCTCATTCTAGCTACAGCCCTGCATCACGCAACACCTCCTCTGAGCAAGCTCCTCGCTGACCAGCTCTAGCTACAGCCCTGCAACACGCAACACCTCCTCTGAGCAAGCTCCTCGCTGAGCAGCTCTGTCTCTCTTCCACGCTCCCGCACTAACAAAACCTCTCAACGAGCTCCTCATCCAACACCTCCTCTCAGCAAGCTCCTAACCACGCAGCAACTTCCCAGCACCAAACTGCACTGTACATTCAATATATTTATATACAGAAAATGCAATGTGAAATTCCTTTCTCCAACCCATCCTGAGTGTGAGACCACACCACGAAACCCCACAAATGGTGACCCCCGGAAAAACGCACTCACACAGGATGGAGGAGGAACGGATCACTCTCCCAGTCTTCAATCACAACGGAGGCAGCTCTCATCGGCTCTACAGCTACAGACAAACAAAAGTATGTCACCCTGGTCTGTTCCCTGCCCACAGAAGTCGCCACGCAAGTTTCAGAGACCATTACTAACCCTCCAGCTGACAAGTTCGCTGCCCTGCGGGATGCTCTCAAAAGGCGTTACCAGCGGCCTGGCGCCAATCTCCTGCAAGACCTATCAAGTCTACCCGTCAGCAACTCCACGTCTATGGGACGAGATGCGTAGACGGAACTCCCGCCACACAGACAGGCTTCCTGACACTATCCTGCGCCAACTTCACATTCAGAAGCTCCCTGCAGAAGTTTGTCTTGTCCTCTCAGTATTGGACTATTCCACTACCTCGGCCACCTACGCAGCCACGGCAGACAGGGTATTCCACGAATACACTGCTGTGCACCATGCGTCCGCACACAACTCCGCTGCTACACTTTCACTTTCCTTCGGTCTCGTCAACCTGACCAGCGCTCCCCAGACGACCAACACCTCACAGGACGTGCGGGAACTGCTACAGTCCCTACATCGCAGGTTAGACACCCTAGAGCAACTCTGCTCCTCCAAGCATGCAGCTGCCCCTCTTCCTGCACCACATCCTACCGACCACAACACACCCGTCCTGCCTCAGGCGCCGCCCCCAGCACAGTGCATCTACCCCCTGTTGGTACCATCAACGTTTTGGTGCTAACGCTAGACGTTGTGAGGCTCCCTGCAACCACACGAGGAAGCAACATCGACGGAGACTGGTAGGTGCCATAACCTCCGCCACTATCAAGCAGCACATCACACACCTTACTTCTGACCTTGACCACTTCACTCCTACTGCTCGTCACGACCCACTGCAAAAATTACGGCAAGCAGTTTCTGCATTCAAGGCTACTGTCCCACGCCAGCTTTCCCACCAACCTGAACACATTAATCCCGCATCTCCTCCGCCAGTCTGCCTACCATTGCAGCACCACCTCACCCACAACATTTCTGGGTACCCTCTGTGTATGTATATTATGTATGCTGGATTATGTATTATGTATGTATATTATGTATGTGCTCCATTTATATTTATTCAGCCTAGCTAGCAGCGTGTGGCAATGTTATTACCATATCCCACACGCTTAATTAATGTGCCTGGCGACGTATGGAAGCTGCTAATGTATCACTTGCCATACGTCGTCTATGGTAGTTGACCAAGACCCTAGCTAGGGAGCAGGGCTACCCCCCTCTGTGTACATACTCTTATCCAGTAAACCGAACCTACAAAACTATACAGGTGTTTGTGTTCTCTCCTGTATATAGAACTTATTACCCAGAACACCTAACATGGCGCAGTGCGTAGTTTTACTGGATTATTACGAGTGATTAGTGCAAGTTTGTGGAAAGCCGGCTTATGATGACTCCCGCCTTCGTGTCAACCCCGCGTCATCCCTCGAAGAATTTCGCAACTTTGAGCAGTGTCAGTGACAGTGATTTTCTGTGAAGTGTTAAGTGCATTGTGTGTTTCGTGCCATTCATGTGTGACCTTGTTCGAAAGGATTCCAAGGTATACGGCATGTTCTGGGCATTTGTGGGGAGTAGAGTTCAGCGCACCCTTCTCTAACCGTTCCCAGAGGGTGACTGAGCTCCTCACTGTCTCCACCCCCCTCCCTCACAGCGCCGCCTCCACCCCCCCTCACAGCTGGGGCGAGACGCTCTGCCTGCCTGGGACACACACACACACACACACATACATGTACTAACACTTGCTGACCGCGCGGCTTTCTTATATATATTTTATATATATAACCTACTTATCTGTGTATTTAATTAAATTTTTTTGTCTGAAATCTTGTTGATACGACGGGCTGACCGGTCAACACTGATTTAAGACACAGTACACAGATAAAGTAGTTATGTCTCATGCCTTACGTAGCCGTGGACCCAGCGCCTGGATGAGTCAAGCGGATGATAGTCCCCCAGAGATGGATGACCAGGCCGGCCCAGCTCCCACAACATCGCGCAGCCCTTCACCTCAACATTCAGCGTTATCTCCAGAGATAATTGCCTTAATGAAGTTTATGAGAGATGAGAGACGCGAGGATGAAGCTCACAGACGTTTGGCGGATGAGCACAGAAGGCAAGCAGAGGCAGAACGAGACCACCAACGGAGAATGGAAGACAGTGCACGGTTTGAAGCCTTGATATCTCGCCTCACTGTTAACCAAGCCCCTGGCTCTAACACTGCCTCGGTACTGAATGGTTCAGATACCTCATCCATGCTTCCTTCACGCCCCCCAGCCCCACCTAAAGCAGCAGCTCAAACACCGCCCATCTTGGAGCCTGATGTAAATTTCCAGACTTTTCGCGAATGGCGGCGGCGGTGGGCTGATTATGCTACAATGGTGGATCTCCAGAGTTTGTCACAGCCTAAACAACTCATCCAGCTGCGTATGTGCCTGTCCTTGGAAGTCCAGCGTGTCTTAGAACATACGTTGCAGGTACCCCCAACCTCTTCGCTGTCTGTAGAGGAGGTACTGGACGTTCTACAACGGCACATCAAAGGACAGCAGAATGAAGCTCTGCGCAGGAGGGAATTGTTTAGCTGCAGACAGATGGAGGGTGAGTCTTTTGACGCTTTTTATGTACGTCTTAAGAGAGCCTCGGAAGAGGTAGATATATGTTTAGGCCACCACCAGCAGTGCGAGGAGACCCAGTTGAAGCAGGTGATCCTGATGGGTGTTAAGGACGAGGAACTTGTCCAACGCCTCACCTCCCTCGACTCTTCCTCTTCTCTTCAGGATGTGTTGACGATATGTCGCTCCTATGAGGCTGCCAGGTGTGCCACCTCTGCCATCCGAGCTCCCCCTACAGCTGTACGCGCTGTGTCCCGGTACAAGAAGGACAAGAAGTCTGCTCCTACGCCTTCGCCCACCACGCCCACGCCCGGTTCATTTTGTAACAACTGTGGTAAGCAGCACGGAACACAGGTGTGTCCAGCTGCTCAGTCTACCTGCAACAGTTGTGACCGTATGGGCCACTGGTCACTCACAGTACGGTGCCCAGCCAAACGCGTCCAGTGCAATGTGTGCGGTCGTCTGGGCCACTATGACAAGTGTTGCCCTTCCAACAAACCCAAGGGACAGCGTCGGCGGAAGCTTCGGCGCCCTTCTACCAGTGAGGGCCGCCCACAGTCGCCAAATCAGAGGCACGACGACCCTGGACAAAGCCCGACCCATTTTAGGAGGGTGTACTCCTCGCATCCCAGGACCAAAGTCCCCCAGTACATCAGCGTCATCGTGACCTACGGCAGTGTGCCATCCCGTCTTCAGATGTTGCCCGACACCGGCGCTGATGCTACAGTCATCGGTCCCCAGCATTTGCGATGCTTGGGGCTCTCTCCAAGCGATCTAGGACCGCCTCCCGAGGATCTCCGCTTTATGGCAGATGGTTCACAGATGACCCCGGCCCTGGGTTCACTCTATGCACATGTCACCTTTGGCAACAGGTCGTGTCAGGCCTGGATTGACGTGCATAATGGTGTCCCGACTCCCTTGCTGTCCTACAGACATTGTCAAGAGTTGGCCATCATCTCCCAGGACTTCCCAACACCGATTCTCGAGGTAAATTACGCCAACAGGGTGCACGAAGGGAGCAGCAACTACCCTGCTGCCGCCCTACCCCTACCTCTGGCCAGTGACACCTCTCCTTCGGTAGTTGTCCCTGCTGCATCACGTCCCCACGCCTTGGCTCGCCTTCACGACAGTCACCGTGGAGCTGAGGCCACCAAACGACGTGCACGACAGACTGTGTTCCGGCCTGGCATCGACCCCGACATCTCCAATGCTGTCCAGGTGTGTAAGCCCCGCCACGTATTACAACCCAGCCAGCAGCAGGTACCCTTCATGAGTGACGACAACCCCACCCGCCCCTTTGAGTCTGTGTCGGCCGACTTTTTCTGTGTGTCAGGAAAG